CCTCGGCAAGACGGAGCTGCTCTTCCTCTCGGGGAAGGACTGACCGTTCCATGATCTCGCCATCACGGTTGACAACTCCGTTGTGTCCTCCTCCCAGAGTGCGAAGAGCCTTGGTGTGACCCTGGACAACACACTGTCGTTCTCCGCTAACATCAAGGCGGTGACCCGATCCTGTAGGTTCATGCTCTACAACATTCGGAGAGTACGACCCTGCCTTACACAGGAAGCGGCACAGGTCCTAATCCAGGCACTTGTCATCTCCCGTCTGGATTACTGCAACTCGCTGTTGGCTGGGCTCCCTGCCTGTGCCATTAAACCCCTACAACTCATCCAGAATGCCGCAGCCCGTCTGGTGTTCAACCTTCGTGGTCCTCTGTAGCTCGTGGTCCTCTGTAGCTCAGCTGGTAGAGCACGGCGCTTGTAACGCCAAGGTAGTGGGTTCGATCCCCGGGACCACCCATACACAAAAATGTATGCACGCATGATTGTAAGTCGCTTTGGATAAAAGCGTCTGCTAAATGGCATATTATTATTATTCCCACGTTCTCTCGCGTCACCCCGCTCCTCCGCACACTCCACTGGCTTCCAGTTGAAGCTCGCATCTGCTACAAGACCATGTTGCTTGCCTACGGAGCTGTGAGGGGAACAGCACCTCCGTACCTTCAGGCTCTGATCAGTCCCTACACCCAAACGAGGGCATTGCGTTCATCCACCTCTGGCCTGCTGGCCCCCCTACCTCTGCGGAAGCACAGTTCCCGCTCAGCCCAGTCAAAACTGTTCGCTGCTCTGGCACCCCAATGGTGGAACAAGCTCCCTCACGACGCCAGGACAGCGGAGTCACTCACCACCTTCCGGAGACACTTGAAACCCCACCTCTTTAAGGAATACCTGGGATAGGATAAAGTAATCCTTCTACCCCCCCCTTACCCCACCCCCAAAAAAATAAATAATAATAATAATTAAAAAAATACATATTGTAAAGTGGTTATCCCACTGGCTATAAGGTGAATGCACCAATTTGTAAGTGGCTCTGGATAAGAGCGTCTGCTAAATGACGTAAAGGTAAATGTAATAAGGTCAGCATTTCATAAACTTTACTGTGGAAAAGGTAATATGTTGATATGCTTCAGTTCGCTGCCATATGACTGGTTTCGCGTCAAATATATCGAAAATAATTGTCATTTATATTTACAATCCCCTTATCCAAACAGCTTACTCATTTACCTCTTATCAATACTTAGCCTCTTATCAATTAGTAAATTACAGTGCATGGAGAATTCCATCGTGCGTAAAGGTGGCGGAATTACGAGGGAATTAAGTCAAGGTCAGAATAGGTGTATCTGTAGACACGCCTTCATTTCTTTGATCTCCACCCCAAACGAATAGCGGGTGTGTAGACAACCCTTACAGTTTTCCATGAGTACTTCTCAGAACCCTCTCCCAAACCCTCCCTCTGGCCCTGGGACTTAGAGACAAAACTTAGTGACTTCTTGCAGCTGAGGCAGGCTGGCAACCTCCGACCTCAGCCTGAATCTATTGTCCTGCTGCAGAAGGCCACATCACACCTACGTGTTAGGGACCAGGTTGCCAGGGGACAGAATCAGCTGACCCGGTCAGCCAATCAGTGGCCTAGCCTGGGGTTGGAGACCCCAGTCTGCCCCTGAACTCTTTTTTTTTTTTTTTTTTTTTTTTGGGGGGATGGATCAGCTTAATATTGCAGATAGATTGTATCTTCTATCAATGTAATTGTCTGCATCACTTCCAATCCCCCATGTTTTTTTTATATTTTTTATATATATATTCCCCTTTATTACTTTTCAACCCCACCATCCTTTCCCTACTTGGAGTAAATTAGTGAACAACAACGCCCAGGCCTCTACTTCCGGTCTATACTTACTATCTACACCTTATGGACAGAGTTAATTTTACAATAATTCTATATCTATATCTATATATATATATATATATATATTTATTTATTTTTTTGCTCCTGAACTTCTTCTAATCTCAACCTCTCCGATCATTTTCATGATGTCCATCCGGTTTGCTTCTAAATGCCATATCTTTCTAACTGTGCTCTTTCCTAAAAGCTCCCAACATACAACCTATATACTTATTATGGACACAGTATGCTTACATTATTAGCTATCTTTGTTATTATTTGTTGTTATTTGTTATTAGTCCCATCCTTCAACTCTATTCAATACCTCCCATCTATCTCTTAACACCATCCATATAGGATTTCTATTTGCCATATATATTTCAACCGTACTGTGATGTTTTACAAAAGTTCTGAACCTTTCTATTCTCATTGCTTCTACAGATTGTGAATTTAAAATAAACATTTTTGCTAAAAGTATTATTATATTATTGATTGATTGACTATGACTTTTCAGATCACCCAGTAATGCTATCTGCAAGGTTAGTTCCAGGTAAATATTGCAATCCTTTAGCCATTCCTGGACCTGTGTCCAAAAACAAGCTACAAATGGACAGAACCAAAACAAATGATCTAATGATTCTATCTCTTCACAGCAAAATCTGCAGAGCTGGAAGATTGTATCCCCCATATAATAACATTCTATTGGTAGCAAGAATTTTATATAATAATTTAAATTGAAAGATTCTAATTTTTGAATCCGGTGTCGTTTTGCGTGTCAGTTCATAAACACTATGCCATGGGATCGGTACGTCAAAGATCTCTTCCCAACTATTTTGCAATCTATATGGGACGGCTGTCAATCCTTTAGTCCTTAAGTGAAACTGATCAAGGTCAGAATAGCCTGGGGTTGGAGACCCCAGTCTGCCCCTGAACTCTTTAGGTGTCTCCAGGAGGGAAGGTTGAGACAAACCTCTAGAAACTCCTGTCCTCTACCCTCAACTCACATCTGGAGCCTTTCTACATCCTTCTTCTGGAATCTCTGGCTGTTTAGTTTTTTTCGGCTGTTCGCGCGCACACAACCTTTTTTTCTGGAGGCAAGTCGAAGATCGGTAGCCGAAGTCTACACCCCTTTGTTGGTGATTGGTCAACAGTAGGGGTGGGAACTATGGACAGGATTCTTCAACAACGTGTTTCAACGAGACAGTGCAGCAGCAGCTAGGTCCTTCTGTCTGGCCATTGAAATCGACAGACACACATAAGTCAGTCTATTCAATGTTTATTGACAAAATAAAACAGAATCAATGGGGTGAGTATACTTTAACTGATCCAGCTAGCAGACAGAAGTTCACGAAGTTCTTAATTAATAGTCCTATGGTTAACAAATTACTCCAAGGTCAAGGAAGGTTTATCAATCAGACAAAAAAAAAAAAAAAAAAAAGATATTATAAAAAGCCAAAATATGAAATAAAACCTTCAAAGTTAAAAAATATACATGAATTTAATTCTAAATGATTTACTGTACATAAAAAATTACTGGTCAAAACAGATCTTTTCACAAAATAACATACTTTTTTCCTCTTAAAAAAACAAAAACAGAACCCAGCTTCTATTGTTTAAATTTGCTCTTCACTCACAGAAAAAAGGTTACATATCCCTGATTTTAAAAAATATTGTTAAAACAAAATGGTTCATTTCTTAAACGTGTATGTTTGTCTTCAGAAGGAAAATTAGGTATTTACGTGAAAGCAGTCATCACAAAAGATGGAAAGCTTTAGAGTAACTCACAACCAGGAAGATACACTAAATCAACATAAATTCATAACTAAGTATTCTGTTTGTCATCAGAAGACAATTGTAAACAAAGGCTTTCTTTGCCAATATGGGAGGAGGATTATTTGGAGACACTTTAAAGCAGGGATCAACTAGACTCAGTCGAGGGACGATTATTTTCATTGAGAGGATGGTCAGGGGGCCGGAACATAATTACAAATAATTTGTAGACTGCAAATTGACAGCAAGAAGCCCAAACAGATATAATATTTGACTAAAACATAATAATTTCAAAGCTTGCTTAGATTTGTATACGGTCACAAATCACATATTATGCGTGGGAATATTTTGGACCAGATAATAATAAATGAAAATCCCCCGCTGGCCACCAGTTGGGGAACCCTTCTTTAAAGTTTCAGAATCTTGGTCCTCTTTAGTATCTCATTATTCCTATTACTTTAAACAAAATGATCAATAAAAAATCTAAACTGCACCAAAAAAAAACGAAATACATGAAAAAGAAAACATGCAATGAAAAAAACCTTTTAAAAAACAAGGAGTAAACCGCATCTTCACAAAAACGCGGATTCAGAGGCTCACGAAATACCGAACTAAAATTATATACAAGGTACTATAACAAAACAAAAACGCATAACAACTCAAAACACTGAAGTACAGAAAACAACAACATAATGTCGTTTATTTTCCAGTTGTCCAATACCTTTTTTCTTCTAGTCAGGTCAACTCAACAATGGGCGTGTAAACCTAACTTGAGATCTGTGAACGCAACTCACATTTTTCAAACCAAATCTCCCAATGAAATTCTCCAATTGAAAATCTCCAATTGTACATTTTGAATACCCACGCATATCTGAAGTTAGGATTGGGCCCTATGAGAGCTGACAAACAATGACGATCATTATTGACTCCTGATGCTAAAATGGATCTAGTCAGAAGTCAGGGAGGTGATAGACTGTATCTGCCGAAGGTGGAAGACTACCCTCCATCTCTCTCTACATCCTCATCTTCTCTGTCCTCTCTTCACCCTTCCTGTCCTACTTTTCTCCACATCTCTCTTTTCTGTTGTCGCTGTGACCCGTCTTCCTCTCTAATCCATAACTACACTTCCTAAAGTGCCTCCAATGGAAACTGGACTGACAGAAAGGACACAAGTGCCTCAAAATAATACAAACAAAAACTAAACAAATTAAAACAAAAATGAAAGAAAATAAAACATTTGCACCGAACGCATTTCTCCAAATAAAGGGAGAGAGAGAGAACGTGTGTGTATGTGTGTGTGTGTGTGTGTGTGTGTGTGTGTGTCATAGCATCCCCGTCATCATCTTCAGTACTTTGGCACTTTGGTGTATTCCTCAGTGTGTATGCTCCTACACAGCCCAATGGACAGGATCATACCCAGGAGCTGTAGAACACAGAGGTCAGAGGTCAGGTTAACAGCATCACTACATCTAAAGCCTTTCAGGAGGGTTCTCTCAATAGCTGTGATCAATGTATGCTCCTGTAGCATGAAGCGTTTACATACACACAAAAAAAAAAAAGAGCTGCTGGCTTGGAAGTGACGTGGATTAAGTCAAGAGGTCAGAAGCTGTTTCTGACAGGCAGTTATTCCTCTTATGATAAACATCTGTCTGGCTGAGAGACCTGCCTGACAGATATGATAAACATCTGTCTGGCTGAGAGACCTGTCTGACAGATATGATAAACATCTGTCTGGCTGAGAGACCTGCCTGACAGACATGATTCAGGGAGAAAAAAAGCCCTTGCTTTCAGAAGCTCTCAAATACCTGATTTTGGTTGTATTGGATTAAGATGAAACACATTGTCCTATAGAATGTATATGTTGTTCTGGTCCTATAGAATGTATATGTTGTTCTGGTCCTATAGAATGTATGTGTTGTTCTGGTCCTATAGAATGTATGTGTTGTTCTGGTCCTATAGAATGTATATGTTGTTCTGGTCCTATAGAATGTATATGTTGTTCTGGTCCTATAGAATGTATATGTTGTTCTGGTTCTATAGAATGTATATGTTGTTCTGGTCCTATAGAATGTATATGTTTGTTCTGGTTCTATAGAATGTAATGTTTGTCTGGTCCTATAGAATGTATGTGTTGTTCTGGTCCTATAGAATGTATATGTTGTTTCTGGTCCTATAGAATGTATATGTTGTTCTGGTCCTATAGAATGTATATGTTGTTCTGGTTCTATAGAATGTATATGTTGTTCTGGTCCTATAGAATGTATATGTTGTTCTGGTTCTATAGAATGTATATGTTGTTCTGGTCCTATAGAATGTATATGTTGTTCTGGTCCTATAAATTATTTTGTTCTTTCCTATGAAGAAGGGGCGGCCCTTTAAGAATGAAATGTTTCTTTCCCCCAATACAGCCCTCCCAGGAACCCCCAGGAAAGGGCAAACACCCGCCCAAAAGGAGTACAAGGAGGGACAAGAAAGAACAGAGAGAAAAGAACGAAAAAGAGAGACGAAAGAGAAGACAAAAAAGAGCAAAGGGGAAAACAAGAAGAGACAAAAAAAAAGAAAAAAAAAAAACAAAAAAAACAAAAAAAAACAAAAAACAAAAAAAAACAAAAAAAAAACAGAAAAGAAAAAACCCAAAAAACAGAAAAAAACAAAAAAAAAACAAAAAAGACAAAAATAAAAACAAAGAAAAAAAGACAAACTAAACAATAATAATCAAATATTTAAAAAACTAATAAATACAAATACATCAACAGACAACAAAACATACATACAACAACAAAACAACAACAAAAACCCCAACAACATACATACAACAACAAAACATACACCCCCAACAACAACTAAAAAATCAACAAAACAACAACAACATACAACAACAAAAGCAACAAAACAACAACAAAAATACAACAAAAATAACAAAACAACAGACAAAACAAAACAACAACAGACAACAAACAAAGAAAATAAGAAATAAAAAATACTAACCCCAAAAACATATAATAACAAAATAACAAATAACAAAAAAAACAAAAAGAAATAGGAATAAAAAGGAAAAAATAATATAACATTTTTCAAACACTTAATATTAAAAATGACTTTAAATTCTTTTTTTTCTTTTAAACTTCTGTGAAATGTTTACTTTAAATTTTTTTGTTTATTTCCTTTTTTTTTTACTATCTATTTTTCACTTTTTTTGGCAATTTAACAAATACGTTTCCCTCCAAAAAAAAGCCCTTAAATTGAATTAGAAAGGAACGAGAGAGAAGAAAAGGAAAAGAAACACAGAGAGACAAGAGAGAGACAAGAACAAAGAAACAAAGAGGATGTATTTTAAACAAAGCCCAATAATTCAGGTGATGGTGGTTTTTGATGGTGTTCATTGGCAAAAATAAATCAAAATGGGTCAAACAATGTGACCATATTTCAATGCCTTTTAAATTGACAAAAACCCACTTCTGGAGTACTGACACCGTTGCACAGTACTATACAGCCTCTTTTTTAGGATGTTCTTCTCTTAATCAAACCCAACCCCAATAAATCAGTGTTCTTACCCTTTTGGGAACGGGGGCCCTCAGCTGACTGTGCCTCACAAAAACCCTGTCGGAGGGAATTTACCCTCAAACCCGACGCGTTCTGGGGGAACTGGGAAAAACACGGGAAATTTCCCAGACGATTACCATGCCCTCCATACACCACTCCATCCACAAAAACTCCTCTGAAAAAGGGGGGTGAGGGAGGGAAGGAAAGAGGGATGGGAAGGAAAAGAAAGAGATAAACAAGAAGAGAGAAGGAACAACACAGAAAGGGAGACGAAGAAAGAGAAAAAGAAAAAGAAGAAAACAAAGAGAAGAACAGAGAGGGGAAAAAAAAAAGCCCCAAAAAGAAGAAAAAGAACGAAAGAAGAGATAGGTATAGAGAATAAAGGGGGGGAGAGAGACCAAAAAACAGAAAAAGGGGCCAAACAAGAAGAGGCGACAAAGAGAGGAAGAAAAGGCCATTGGGAAAGCACAAAAAATTTTTAAGAAGGGGGGCTTTCCCCCTTAAAATAAGATACGAAAAAAAGGGGCCCCCTGCAGAAAAATAAAAAAGTTGTAAAAAATGATAGAAAAAGGGGCCAGGTAAAAGGGAGAAACCCAAGGAAAACTTTCCTTTTTTTTTTTCAAAAAATGAGCTGCCCCAACCCTTCCGTAAATTTTTAAGCTAGGCAAAGACTTTTCCCCCTTTAAGTGTTTTTAAAGTATTTTCCCATTTCCTTTGTTTGAAATCACTTTTCCAGACAGATGGAGCTTTAAGAGCTTGGCGGAAGGCCTTCCTGTCAATCCATTTCTAACAGCTATGGTTTGGCTCCACTGAACAATCCATTTAGATGTTTTTTTACGACTGCTTCAAACGTGGAGTTAACACCCAGGAATGGTGCCAAACAAGTGACACAAGTCTAATTTCTGTACAGAGAACCTTACACCAAGCTACTCGACTACTTAGATCACACTGGTTCGTTTCACTTCAGGTAATTGCCAAACCTATGCAAATGATTGGTCAAGATCCACTGTATTTTATGAATTTTCTTAGCAGGGTTAACACCACTTGCCAGTTCACCATAAAACTACAGGTACATTCTTTTTGAACCGTTAAATCCCTATATAGTCGACTGGTGTGTTGACTTTTGAACTGGTTCGAAATTGACCTCCGTTGCAAGTAAAAAATAACACCCTTTTCCCTTAGTTCAAATTTTTATTTTATTTATGGGCGTCATGCCCCCGGACCCCCTAATCGACTCTTTCAATCTTGTTAAATTTCTGTATTCTGACCTCTAGGCGTCACTTTCACATTGGCTCTACTCAGAGTAGGATTGAAGTTGTAGACAGTGATCTAAGGTCAGCTAGTGTTCTCCACTCTAATGGTTCAGGTTAGAGTTAAAGGGAAGATATAACCTGATCCTAGATCTGTGCTCTCCACTCACCGTCCTCTGTATGTAGTCCCAGGCCTGCTCGGTGGTGCTGTTCTTGCCAGGGTAGTTTTTCAGGATCTGGGTCATGATGTTGGACATCTCATTATTTAGCTGAGACAGAGAGAGAAGGGGGAAACCAGTCAAGTCAGCCAGAGTCAATCAACCAGTCAGCCAGAGAGTCAGACAGTGTTGGTTTCTAAACTAAAGTTTCCAACACAAACACAATGCCTGGAGAGAAAACACTAACACAATGCCCAGAACTAGAGAGATAATCAGTTTAATAAATCAGAATAAATTCCTTGAGAAAAATGTCCCTGATCATTCAAAACTAGCATCGTTTTGTGCAATCTTATGTCTCCACTCTGAACCCCTCTCCATTCCTTCTCTGTAATCGGGTAAATATGGTTCCAACTCCCACTCTCTGACCCCTCTCCATTCCTTCTCTGTTGAATCGGGTAAATATGGTTCCAACTCCACTCTGACCCCTCTCCATTCCTTCTCTGTTGAATCGGGTAAATATGGTTCCAACTCCACTCTCTGACCCCTCTCCATTCCTTCTCTGTTGAATCGGGTAAATATGGTTCCAACTCCACTCGGACCCCTCTCCATTCCTTCTCTGTTGAATCAGGTAAATATGGTTCCAACTCACTCCTGACCCCTCTCCATTCCTTCTCTGTTGAATCGGGTAAATATGGTTCCAACTCCACTCTGACCCCCTCTCCATTCCTTCTCTGTTGAATCGGGTAAATATGGTTCCAACTCCACCTCTGACCTCTCTCCATTCCTTCTCTGTTGAATCGGGTAAATATGGTTCCAACTCCACTCTGACCTCTCTCCATTCCTTCTCTGTTGAATCGGGTAAATATGGTTCCAACTCCACTCTGACCCCTCTCCATTCCTTCTCTGTTGAATCGGGTAAATAAAGTGCACGGAGCCTTTGTCCCAAATGGCACCCTATTCCCTTTATAGTGCACTACTGTTGACAAGGGCACATAGAGCTCCAGTCAAAAGTAGTGCACTACAGTGCATTCGGAAAGTATTCAGACCCCTTGACTTTTTCCACATTTTGTTATGTTACAGCCATTTTCTAAAATTGATTAAATTGGGGCGGGGGGGGGTTCTCATCAATCTACACACAATACCCGATAATATTAATAATGACAAAGTGAAAACAGGTTTTTATAAATTTTTGCACATTTATTAGAGCAAAAACCAAGCCATGAGGTCGAAGGAATTGTCCGTAGAGCTCCGAGACAGGATTGTGTTGAGGCACAGATCTGGGGAAGGGTACCAAAACATTTCTGCAGCATTGAAGGTCCCCAAGAACACAGTGGCCTCCATCATTCTTAAACCTGGCACCATCCCTATGGTGAAGCATGGTGGTTGCAGCATCATGCTGTGGGGATGTTTTTCAGCGGCAGGGACTGGGAGACTAGTCAGGATCGAGGCAAAGATGAATGTAGCAAAGTACATAGAGATCCTTGATGAAAACCTGCTCCCGAGCGCTCAGGACCTCAGACTGGGGCGAAGGTTCACCTTCCAACAGGACAACGACCCTAAGCACACAGCCAAGACAACGCAGGAGGGGCTTCGGGACAAGTCTCTGAATGTCCTTCAGTGGCCCAGCCAGAGCCCGGACTTGAACCCGATCGAACATTTCCGGAGAGATCTGAAAATAGCTGTGCAGCAACGCTCCCCATACCAACTTGACAGAGCTTGAGAGGATCTGCAGAGAGGAATGGGAGAAACTCCCCAAATACAGGTGTGCCAAGCTTGTAGCGTCATACTCAAGAAGACTCAAGGCTGTAATCGCTGCCAAAGGTGCTTCAACAAAGTTCTGAGTAAAGGGTCTGAATACTTACAGTTGAAGGCGGAAGTTTACATACACTTAGGTTGGAGTCATTAAAACTCATTTTTCAACCACTCCACAAATGTCTTGTTAACAAACTATAGTTTTGGCAAGTCGGTTAGGACATGTACTTTGTGCATGACACAAGTCATTTTTCCAACAATTGTTTACAGACAGATTATTTCACTTACAATTCACTGTATCACAATTCCAGTGGGTCAGAAGTTTACATACACTAAGTTGACTGTGCCTTTAAACAGCTTGGAAAATTCCAGAAAATTATGTCATGGCTTTAGAAGCTTCTGATAGGCTAATTGACATCATTTGAGTCAATTGGAGGTGTACCTGTGGATGTATTTCAAGACCTACCTTCAAACGCAGTGCCTCTTTGCTTGACATCATGGGAAAATCAAAAGAAATAAGCCAAGACCTCAGAAAAAACATTGTAGACCTCCACAAGTCTGGTTCATCCTTGGGAGCAATTTCCAAATGCCTGAAGGTACCACGTTCATCTGTACAAACAATAGTATGCAAGTATAAACACCATGGGACCACGCAGCCGTCGAGACGCTACTTTGGTGCGAAAAGTGCAAATCAATCCCAGAACAACAGCAAAGGACCTTGTGAAGATGCTGGAGGAAACAGGTACAAAAGTATCTATATCCACAGTAACACTAGTCCTATATCGACATAACCTGAAAGGCCGCTCAGCAAGGAAGAAGCCACTGCTCCAAAACCCGCCATAAAAAGCCACACTAACGGTTTTGGCAAACTGCACATGGGGACAGAGATAGTACTTTTTGGAGAAATGTCCTCTGGTCTGATGAAACAAAAATAGAAACTGTTTGGCCATAATGACCATTGTTGTGTTTGGAGGAAAAAGGGGGTTGCTTTGCAAGCCGAAGAACACCATCATGCTGTGGGGGTGCTTTGCTGCAGGAGGGACTGGTGCACTTCACAAAATAGATGGCATCATGAGGAAGGAAAATTATGTGGATATATTGAAGTAACATCTCAAGACATCAGTCAGGAAGTTAAAGCTTGGTCGCAAATGGTCTTCCAAATGGACAATGACCCCAAGCAATCTTCCAAAGTTGTGGCAAAATGGCTTAAGGACAACAAAGTCAAGGTATTGGAGTGGCCAGCACCAAAGCCCTGACCTCAATCCTATGGAAAATTTTTGGGCAAAAATGAAAAAAAAAGTGGGGCGAGCAAGGAGGGTCAAAATGATCAGTTTTTCACAAGCTTGTTTTTAGGAGGGGGAAAGGGCCAAAATTTACCCAACTTTTTTTTTGGAAAGCTTGTGGAAGGCTACCCCAAACATTTGACCCCAAATTAAACAATTTAAAAGGAATGTAAACCAAAAACTAATTGGGGTGTAGTAAAAATTCGGGCCCACGGGGGAAAGTGATGAAAAAAAAAAGCTGAAATACAAAATTTTCCCCAAATTATTCGACATTTTTAATTCTTAAAAAAAAAGTGGTGATTTCCCAACGAACCCAAGAAAAAGGGAAATTTTTTTAGGATTAAAAGTCATGATTGTGAAAAAATGAGTTTTTAAAAGCATTTGGTAAGATGATGTAAAATTCCGACCTTTTAACTGTATGTAAATGGGAATTTTTAGTATTTTAAAAAAACCTAAAAAATGTTTTTCTCTGTTACTATGGGGTGTAGATTGTTACTATGGGGTGTATATTGTTACTATGGGGTTTTAGATTGTTAATAGGGGGTTTTATATTGTTACTAGGGGGGTAGATTTTATAGGGGGGTAGATTGGTTTTCTAGGGGTGTAGATTGTTCATGGGGTAGATTGGGGTTTCTATGGTGTGGAGGCGTTACTTGGGGGTGTAGATTTTTACATGGGGGGGTATATTGTTACTATGGGGGGGTAGATTATTCTATGGGTGTAGTTGTTACTATGGGTTTTAGATTGGTTTCTATGGGGGGGTAGAGGTTTTTACTATTGGGGGTAGATTGGTTTTCTAGGGGGTGTAGATTGTTACTATGGGGGGTAGATTGTTACTATGGGGTGTAGATTGTTACCAAAGGGGTGGGGGATTTTACTAGGGGGGGTTATTGTTTTCTATGGGGTGGTTTTTTTTGTTACTAGGGGTAGATTGGGTTTTTGGGTGGGAATTTTTACTATGGGGTTGGGAAAATTGTTAAATAGGGTGTTAATTTTTTACTAAAAGGGGGGGGAAGTGTTTCTATGGGGGGATTGTTTTCTAAAGGGGTTATATTGTTTTCTTTTGGGGGGAGATTGGGTTTCTATTTGGGGGGAAAATTTTTAAATATGGGGGAAATTGTTTTCTATGGGGGGTAGATTTACTATGGGGGTAGATTTTACATGGGGGGTAATTGTTTAAATATGGGTGTATATTTTTAATATGGGGTGGGAATTGTTTCTATGGGGGGAGATTGTTTCTTTGGGGGGTAGTTGTTTTCTATGGGGGTGATTGTTACTATGGGGTGGGAAAATTGTTTTATGGGGGGTAGATTGGGTTTCTTTTTGGGGGTAATTTTTTTTAGATTTATTGGGGGAAAAGGCTCTAATGTAACAAAATTGGTTTGGGGAAAAAATCAAGGGGTCTGAAACTTTTTCCCAATGCACGGGAGTGTACTACTTTTTAAGGGCTCTATTTCCCTTGTCAACAGTTTGGGCACTATAAAGGGGAAATTTGGGGGGCCATTTTTGGGTGCGTTTTTCCCGCCACCCCTTTAAAAGCTACATGATTTGGACATGTCTGTTGTGTTGAAATGCTTAGTTATAGTGAAAAAGCAGATCTTGTTTAAAGCGCTGAAGCAACATGTCATCTTTAAAAAATCCTTTTTGGCCCAAAGGGGAGCGCCGTGGCTGATGTTTGGGTCCAGGGCTTCCAACGAGGGTTCTCTTTCAGATAGAATAAGCAGGGAGCCCGCAGGGGTACTCAGGGTAATATTTTAGGGCTGTCCCAAAAAAGCAAACCCTATTCCCTATATACTGTAGTGACTACTTTTGGGGAGTTTCACTAAAAGGGGAAAAAGGGTTTCCATTTGGGACGCAGGCAAAATCTGGGTCTGAGAGGTGGATTCCAGCTTTACGGTGTAAACCAGTCAGTGCTTCCCTTCAGGTCCCTGGGGACAGAAAAGTTTGGGGGTGTTGTGTGGTTTTTTGTCCAAAGGGCCCCTGAATCAAGCCAGCAAACTATCCTCTCCAGCCAGGGTGGGTTCTGTTCCATTCCAAGTCTATAGCTTCTGCTGGCCTTTCCCAAACCAGCTAAAGGGTTATAAAGTATCCCTCTGTGTGGTGGTGTGTGGCTGTTTCTTCAATTATCCACATCTGTGTTTACACCTCTCTTAGTGGTGTGGTTTTTCCTCCCAGCAGCAGTCACCCCCTCTGCCCCCCCTCTCCCACGACAGACACACCCTCCTCCCTCTCTCTCTGACCCCCTCCTCACTGCAGCGACCCCCCTCTTTCGCCCCTTCCTCACTGCCCCAGAACCCCTCTCTCCTCTACCCCTTCCTCCTGCAACAACCCCTCTCTCTCTCTCCTCTGCCCCCTCTCCTATGACGACACCCTCCTTCTCCTCCCCCTCTCCTCACTCAAAACACCCTCTCTCGTCTCTGACCCCCTCTCCTCCTAAGACACCACCTCTCTCCTCTCTCGCCCCCCCCTCCTGACAACACACCTCTCTCTCTGACCCTCTCCTCCTGACAACCACCTCTCTCTTTTGACCCCTCTCCTCCTGACAGACACCTCTCTCCTACCCTCTCCTCACGGACCCCTCTCCTCACTGACAGACACACCTCTCTCTCTCTGACCCCTCTCCTCACTGACAGACACACCTCTCTCTCTCTGACCCCTCTCCTCACTGACAGACAACACCTCTCTCTCTCTGACCCCTCTCCCCTCAGTGACAGACACCTCTCTCTCTCTGACCCCTCTCCTCACTGACAGACACACCTCTCTCTCCTGACCCCTCTCCTCACTGACAGACACCCTCTTCTCTCTCTGACCCCTCTCCTCATGACAACACCCCCCCCTCTCCCCTCTCCCCTCTCCTCCTCAACCCCCTCCCTTCCCCCCCTTCCCCCACTGACGACACACCTCTCTCTCTCTGACCCCTCTCCTCACTGACAGACACACCTCTCTCTCTGACCCCTCTCCTCACTGACAACAACCCCTCGTCTCTCTGACCCCCCTCCTACGAAAAAAAACCCCCTTCTCTCTGCCCCCCTCTCCTCATGCAAACACACCTCTCTCTCTCGACCCCCTCCTCACGCAGAAAAACCTCTCTCCTTCTGACCCCTCCCCTCAGACCCCTCTCCTCACTGACAGACAACACCTCTCTCTTTTTGACCCCTTCCCACTGACAACCAACCCTCTCTCTTTCGCCCCCTTTGTTTATGCCCCTCACTGACAAAACACCCCCACAGGGGCCACTTTCCTCTGGACCTCCTGGGGCCTCCTGTGCATTAATAACCACCACCACACTAGTGCCCTGCAGTTTTCATAGTGAACAACAGGGGGCACTGTGATACCAAACACCGCTCAATCAGCTTGACATGACGCTGGCTTGTCCCAAATGGCACCCGGTTCATGTCTTTTGAGCAGGGCCCATAGGGATAAGGAATATGGTGCCATTTGGGAAACAGCCACTATCTATTGGCTTGTCAGGGGTGTTTTATCACAAACTCATCTTAGCTAAATGAAACCAACAGGGGAAATTCTTTATAGTGTGCTATTGACAACCCACACATAGAAAGTCCCAGAGAAGCTGGGAACACTTTTCATTCCTTGGAAATAATTATATTTTCTTGGCAGTTATACTCCAACACAGTCATGTCAATACAGCTTTTGTCTCTGACTAAAAGTAAAAGGTGTAATCAGTAGGCAGGTCTCAAAACAAGGTGCAGTCTCAAAACAAGGTGTAGTCTCAAAACAAGGTGTAGTCTCAAAACAAGGTGTAGTCTCAAAACAAGGTGTAGTCTAAAGGGTGTTCCGAGTCATTTTCAACCAAACGGGTTTGGTTCAGGCGGGTTGAAACATTTGAATTTCAGGAAACCAGACGGTGCCAGGTAGCCTAGGGGTTAAAGAGCGGTGGCGGGTTAGCCTAGTGGTTAAGAGTGGTGCAGTTGCCTGTGGTTAAGAGTGGTGGGGTCCTAGGTTAAGTTGGCAGGTAGCCTAGTGGTTAGAGTGTGCAGGTAGCCTAGTGGTTAAGAGTGGTGGCAGGTAGCCTAGTGGTTAAGAGTTGGGGGCAGTACCTAGGGGTTAAGAGTGGTGGCAGTACCTAGTGGTTAAGAGTGTGGCAGCAGCCTAGTGTTAAGTGGTGGCAGGTAGCCTAGTGGTTAAGATGGTTGGCGGTAGCCAGTGGTTTTAGAGTGTGGCAGGCAGCCTAGTGGTTAATTTGTTGGCAGTCCCTAGTGGTTAAGACCGGTGCAGTCCTAGTGTTAAGCGTGGCAGGTGCCTAGTGTTTAAGAGTGGTGGCAGGCGGGTAGCCTAGGGGTTTTAAGGGAGTGGTGCGGCAGGTAGCCTAGTGGTTAGAGCGGGGCGGTACCCCTAGTGGTTTAAAGAGTGTGCAGCAGGTACCCCTAGGGGTTTAAAAAAACGGTGGCAGTAGCCTATGGTTAAAGCGTGGCAGGTAGGAGCCTAGTGGTTAAGAGGGGGAAAGGTACCTGTGTTAAGAGCGTGGCAGCGGGACCTAGGTTAAGAGCGGTGGCAGGCGGGTAGCCTATTGGTTAAAGTGGTGCAGGTACCTATGGTTAGAGCGTGCCAGGTGCCTAGTGGTTAAGATGGTGGGGCAGTAGCCTAGTGGTTAAGAGCGTGCAGCAGTAGCCTAGGGTAAGAGCGGTGGCAGGTAGCCTAGTGGTTAAGGGGTGGCAGCGGTAGCCTGTGGTTAAAGTGGTGGCAGGCAGTACCTAGTGGTTAGAGTGGTTGCAGGTAGCCTAAGGGTTTAAGAGTTGGTGGCAAGGTGCCTAGGGGTTAAGAGCGGGGGCGGTAGCCTAGTGGTTAAGAGTGGTGGCGGGCGGTACCTAGTGGTTAAGAGCGGTGGCGTAGCCTATGGTTAAGAGTGGTGGCGGGTACCTATGGTTAGAGTGGTGGCAGGTAGCCTAGTGTTAAGAGCGGTGGCAGTACCCTAGTGTTAAGAGCGGTGCAGGTAGCCTATGGTTAAGAGTGGTGCAGGCAGGTAGCCTAGTGGTTAGAGCGTGGCAGTAGCCTAGGGGTTTAAAGAGCGTGCAGTAGCCTTGGTTAAGAGCGGGGCAGGTACCCTAGTGGTTTTAGAGGGTGCTACCCAGTGGTTAAGGCGTGGCAGGTGGGCCTATGTTAAGTGGTTTGCGTAGCCTAAATGGTTAGAGTGGTGGCAGGTTACCCTAGTGGTTTAAGGGGTGCCAGTCCCATGGTTAAAGTGGTGGCGCAGGAAAGCCAAATGGTTAAGAGTGGTGGAGCAGGGGTAGCCTAGTGGTTAAGAGTGTGGAAAGCGGCCTAGTGGTTAAGGGGGGGTGCAGTAGCCTAGGTTAAGAGCGGTGGGCAGGCGGTAGCCTAGTGGTTAGGAGCGGTGCCAGGTTAGGCCTGGGGGTTAAAGGGGTGGCAGCAGGTACCTAGTGGTTTAAGAACCCGGTGGCAGGCAGGATGCCTGGGTGGTTTAAGAGCGGTGGCAGGCAGGTACCTAGTGGTTAAGAGGGGTGGCGGGCAAGTAGCCAGTGAAGATGGTTGGCGGCGTGCCTGGGTTAAGAGCGGTGGAAAGGCAGTTAGCCTAGTGGTTAGAGCGGTGCAGGTACCCAAGTGGTTAAAGTGGTGGCAGGCAGGTAGCCTAGTGGTTAAGACGGGGGCCCCAGAGCCTAGTGGTTAGAGTGGTGGGGGTACCTAGTGGTTAAGAGCGGTGGCAGGTAGCCTAGTGGTTAAGAGTGGTGGCAGGCAGAAAGCTGGGGTTTTAAGAGCCAGTTGGGGCAGGTAGCCATTTGGTTAAGAGCGGTGGCAGGTAGCCTAGTGGTTAAGAGTGGTGGGCAGGTAGCCTAGTGGTTAAGAGTGGTGGCAGGTAGCCTAGTGGTTAAGAGTGGTGGCAGGTAGCCTAGTGGTTAAGAGTGGTGGCAGGCAGGTAGCCTAGTGGTTAAGAGTGGTGGCAGGTAGCCTAGTGGTTAAGAGTGGTGGAGGCAGGTAGCCTAGTGGTTAAGAGCGGTGGCAGGTAGCAGTAAGAGCGGTGGTGGGTAAGAGCGTTGGGCCAGTAACCGAAAGGTCACTGGTTCAAATCCCCGAGCTGCCTAGGTGAAAAATCTGTTGATGTGCCCTTGAGCAAGGCACTTAACCCTAATTGCTCCTGTAAGTCACTCTGGATAAGAGCGTCTGCTAAATGACAAAATAAAATACAATTACATACTTTTCTGACATGTAGAGTAAGAATGGCAAAGTTATATATACACATGGTATTTATATCGGCAATATTCAGTAAGTTGCTCTTTCCTGAACGCGACCAACAACAGGTGTAAACAGGAAGTGACATCACTTACCAGGTCTTTCTGGAAGTAGAGGAGTACACCAGCTGCCACCTGACCAATCAGAATCAGCAGCAGGCAGGTGAAGTACTGGGGAGGAAGAGAGGATCATGGGATATATGGAGATGACATCACTATGGCAACAGTCCATCATAACAATGCATGAACATCTATCCATCCCGACATCAATACCCCCTGCCTTCAAATATAATTGCATTATGTATTCAACAATGTATCTAAATAATTTACTAGGATGTGAACTTCCAAACAAAAACTACAGTCGTAACCCTGGAGGCAGAATCTGCATCATCTCCTTTGTGGTTCTACAATATGAACTGGAACATTCATGGGGATTTGTGGTTCTACAATATGAACTGGAACATCCATGGGGATTTGTGGTTCTACAATATGAACTGGAACATCCATGGGGCTTTGTGGTTCTACAATATGAACTGGAACATCCATGGGGATTTGTGGTTCTACAATATGAACTGGAACATCCATGGGGCTTTGTGGTTCTACAATATGAACTGGAACATCCATGGGGCTTTGTGGTTCTACAATATGAACTGGAACATCCATGGGGCTTTGTGGTTCTACAATATGAACTGGAACATCCATGGGGATTTGTGGTTCTACAATATGAACTGGAACATCCATCGGGCTTTGTGGGAGACTACTCCCTGTACAGTAGCAATAGTTTGTAATGTATTCACACTAGCATACACTGAGTGTACAAAACATTAGCAACACCTTCCTAATATTGGGTTGCACCCCCTTTTGTCCTCAGAACAGCCTCAATTCGTCAGGGCATGGACTCTACAAGGTGTTGAAAGCGTTCCACATGTTGACCCCAATTCTTCCCACAGTTGTGTCAAGTTGGATGGATGTCCTTTGGGTAGAGGACCATTCTTGATACACACGGGAAACTGTTGAGCGTGAAAAACCCAGCAGTGTTTAAGTTCTTGACACACTCAAACCGGTGCGCCTGGCACCTACTACCATACCCCGTTCAAAGGCACTTACATGTTTTGTCTTGCCCAGTCACCCACTGAATGGCACACATACACAATCCATGTCTCAATTGTTTGAAGGCTTAAAAATCTTTCCTTCATCTACACTGATTTAACAGGTATGTAGCTAAGGGATCATAGCTTTCACCTGGTCATGTCATGGAAAGAGCAGGTGTTCTTAATGTTCTGTACACTCAGTGTAGATTTTGTAGATGCCAGCTACTTTTTAAGATGTTTTAGTTTTAAATGCAATATGGTTACCTACTTTAGCTTAATGCACCACGGACTGTAAGTCACACCAGGCAGTCAAGTATGTGTGTGTGTGTGTGTGTGTGCCTGTGTGTTTGTGCCTGTGTGTGTGTGTGCCTGTGTGTGTGTGTGTGCCTGTGTGTGTGCCTGTGCGTGTGTGTACGTGTGTGTGTGTGTGTGTGCCTGTGCCTGTGTGTGCCTGTGTGTGTGTGTGTGTGCCTGTGTGTTTGTGCCTGTGTGTGTGTGTGTGCCTGTGTGTGTGTGTGTGCGTGTGTGTGCCTGTGTGTGTGTGTGTGTGTGTGTGTGTGTGTGCCTGTGTGTGTGCTGTGTGTGTGTGTGTGCCTGTGTGTGCTGTGCCTGTGTGTGTGTGTGCCTGTGTGTGTGCCTGTGCCTGTGTGTGTGTGTGTGTGTGTGTGCTGTGCCTGTGTGTGCCTGTGTGTGTGTGTGCCTGTGTGTGTGTGTGTGTGTGTGTGTGTGTGTGTGTGTGTGTGTGTGTGTGTGTGTGTGTGTGTGTGTGTGTGTGTGTGCGTGTGTGTGCTCACCAGGCCCAGCAGACAGCGGATCTCGTAGATGGTCCCCAGGCAGCCCAGGAAGCCCATCAACATGGAGAGACCCCCTACACCTATCAGGATGTAGGAAGCTATCTTCAGCCCTGAGGAGGACTCTTCTGTAGAGAGAAACAAGCACCCTCTCAGGTTAGCACATTAGCATCGCTATGGTAAAAACATATACAGTGCATTCGGAAAGTATCCAGACCTCTTGACTTTTTCCACATTTTGTTACGTTACAGCCTTATTCTAAATGGCTTTAAAAAAAAAGTTCCCTCATCAATCTACACACAATACCCCATAATGACAACGCAAAAACAGGTGTATAGAAACTTTAGCAAATGTATAATGAAAAAAAACCCCTGAAATATCACATTTACATAAGTATTCAGACCCTTTACTCAGTACTTTGTTGAAGCACCTTTGGCAGAGATTACAGCCTTGATTCTTCTTGAGTATGACGCTACAAGCTTGGCACACCTGTATTTGGGGAGTTTCTCCCATTCTTCTCTGCAGATCAGGTTGGATGGGGAGTGTCGCTGCACAGCTATTTTCAGGTCTCTCCAGAGATGTTTGATCGGGTTCAAGTCCGGGCTCTGGCTGGACCACTCAAGGACATTCAGAGACTTGTCCCGAAGCCACTCCTGCGTTGTCTTGGCTGTGTGCTTAGGGTCGTTGTCCAGTTGGAAGGTGAACATTCGCCCCAGTCTGAGATCCTGAGCACTCTGGAGCAGGTTTTCATCAAGGATCTCTCTGTACTTTTCTCCGTTCATCTTTCCCTCGATCCTGACTAGTCTCCCAGTCCCTGCCACTGAAAAACATCCCCACAGCCTGATGCTGTCACCACCATGCTTCACCGTAGGGATGGTGCCAGGTATCCTCCAGACGTGACGCTTGGTATCCAGGCCAGAGAGTTCAATCTTGGTTTCATCAGACCTGAGAATCTTATATCTCATGGAACGAATTGCAAAAATCTCTGAAGCTGGAGACTCTTATCTCCCTCACTAACTTTAAGCATCAGTTGTCAGAGCACCTTACCGATCACTGCACCTGTACACAGCCCATCTGAAATTAGCCCACCCAACTACCTCATCCCCATATTGTTATTTATTTTGCTCATTTGCACCCCAGTATCTCTATTTGCACATCATCTCTTGCACATCTATCATTCCAGTGTTAATACTAATTGTAATTATTTTGCACTATGGCCTATTTATTGCCTTACCTCCATAACTTGCTACATTTGCACACACTGTATATATATTTTCTGTTGTATTTTTGACTTTATGTTTTGTTTTACCCCATATGTAACTCTGTGTTGTTGTTTTTAATCGCACTGCTTTGCTTTATCTTGGCCAGGTCGCAGTTGTAAAGCTTACCTGGTTAAATAAAGGTGAAATAAAAAAATAATTAAGAAATGACAGTCTTTAGGTGCCTTTTGGCAAACTCCAAGCGAACTGTCATGTGTCTTTTACTGAGGAGTAGCTTCCATCTGGCCACTCTACCATAAAGGCCTGATTGGTGGAGTGCTGCAGAGATGGTTGTCCTTCTGGAAGGTTCTCCCATCTCCATAGAGGAACTCTGGAGCTCTGTCAGAGTGACCATCGGGTTCTTGGTCACCTCCCTGACCAAGGCCCTTCTCCCCCGATTGCTCAGTTTGACCGGGCGGCCAGCTCTAGGAAGCTTCTTGGTGGTTCCAAACTTCTTCCATTTAAGAATGATGGAGGCCACGATGTTCTTGGGGACCTTCAATGCTGCAGAAATGTTTTGGTACCCTTCCCCAGATCTGTGCCTCGACACAATCCTGTCTCAGAGCTCTACGGACAATTCCTTTGATCTTATGGCTTGGTTTCTGCTCTGACCATGCACTGTCAACTGTGGGACCTTATATGGACAGGTTTGTGCCTTTCCAAATCATGTCCAATCAATTGAAATTACCACAGGTGGACTCCAATCAAGTTGTAGAAACATCTCAAGGACGATCAATGGTAACAGGATGCACCTGAGCTCAATTTTGGTTCGCATAGCGAAGGGTCTGAATACTTATGTAAATAAGGTATTTCATTTTATTTTTATTTGTAATACATTAGCAAAAATGTATAAAAACCTGTTTTCGCTTTGTCATTATGGGGTATTATGTGTAGATTGATGGGGGGAAAAAAGTAATTTAATCAATTTTAGAATAAGCTGTAACGTAACCAAAATGTTGAAAAAGAGGAGGGGCCTGAATACTTTCCGAATGCACTGTATAGGCTAGCATTTAGCATACCTACAGTATGCCATGGAGGACTCCTTTGTAGAGATGGGAAAACAACTCTTTAGCAATCTTTTTGTAACACACAGGTTCATTTTGCAATCGCTACTGGCAGGCGATTTAAGAAATCCGATTTTGGTACACGGGGTACATTGCCCCTACACAATACAGGGGACAACACTTAAAAAATTAGCCCACTCACCCTTAGCGGACCCTTTTTAAAAACACTTGTTTGCTTCATGTCTGTAGGTACAGACAGTACTTTTTCTTTAAATTTTGTCTTTACAACCCCTTTTTATCCAGAGCGACTTACAGGACAAAATTGGGTTACTGCCTGCTCATCAAAGGGGACATCGACAGACCTTTTACCTATGGCTCGGGGGTTAGAAAAACCCGCGGGCCTTTGGTTTCTGGCACCCCACCCCCTTAACCACTAAACTACCCGCCGCCCCAAATAACCCGAGACATTTCCTCTAAGGCACTCACTCACTGATCTACACCCAAAATATCTGGTCATGGAAAAAGTTCTGAGAGTTCTGGCTTCTAAGTTCTGAGAGTTCTGCCTTCTAAGTTCTGAGAGTTCTGGCTTCTAAGTTCTGAGAGTTCTGGCTTCTAAGTTCTGAGAGTTCTGGCTTCTATGAACTGTCTACTGGAGCCAGAGATAGATTAGGGGGTCGGCGTTCCAAATGGCACCCTTTTCCCTATTTAGTGCACTACTTTTGACCAAAAAGTAGTGCACTAAACTGTTAAGAAAATAGTGCACTGTATATAGGGAACAGGGTGCAATTTGGGACATAGATTATGTCTGGCAAGAGGAGGAATGATATGTTACTCTGAGGACACTGTTCTCAGAGTGTGTGTGTGTGTGTGTGTGTGTGTGTGTGTGTGTGTGTGTGTGTGTGTGTCACTGCCAAACATTCTGAGGCTTTCAAAGGAAAGAGAGGAGCATGTTCTGTGGATCACTCCAGAGGTCTGGACCAACAGAGTGCCGTCACGGAGGACAAACTCTCTGCAAAGCCCAGAAAACCACCACTGAGATAGAGAGGACAGTAAACCTGATCTAAAAGGTCTTTAGTTTAAGGAGACGTCATCCTTGGAGACAGAGACTAGAGGGTTACACTGTATGGCAGAAACCTCTGGCACAACATGAAAAATCTAAGTGTATTTGTCAGCGTAGGTTCACAGTACAATGAAATGCTTTATGCAAGACGTGAAACACGGCCAAATGTATATGGTCGTAGTCATAGACACAAAGTGGACTAAAATATACAGCAAAACTAGTATACTATTTAACACTGTGCTGAAATAGCTGCGGTTGGTTAGTGCTATACTCCTCTAGTGTGTGTGACCAATGTGGAATACAGGAAGTTCAATACTGCCATGCTGGCTGATAACATTCTTCTAATTATTATTATTCTAAGCGGGATGACTGTGGCAATATTACTGAAGGAATATGCAAAAACGCTGGTTGGTCACATCACAGGGAGGGAGGAAGAGCCTGCAGCACATCCCAGACAGGGAGGAAGAGCCTGCAGCACATCACAGACAGGGAGGAAGAGCCTGCAGCACATCCCAGACAGGGAGGAAGAGCCTGCAGCACATCACAGACAGGGAGGAAGAGCCTGCAGCACATCACAGACAGGGAGGAAGAGCCTGCAGCACATCACAGGGAGGGAGGAAGATCAAGGAACAGATCCCTCTTCTCAATCCGGTGGTGGGAGGAGGGAGTGTGCGCCTGTGAACGTGTGTGTGTGTAACTGCATGAGTGTGTGCGTAAGTACGTGTGATTTTCCCCTCTCCACACTTGCATGGTTGACATGGGGACTCCCAACAAACTTTACGCAGCAAAGTTCAACACTGCTTAGTGAAGGAATGCGTTTGCCACTGAAATATAATTCACAGGGGGACACCAGAGTATAAATGGCACCCCCTTTTCACTTTATAGTGCACTAGTTTTGACCAGGGTCCATAGGGCTCTAGTTCACTATATAGTCCAATGTAGTGCACTATATGTAGGGAATAGGCTGCCATTTGGGACGCAGCCGTCCTCTGGTGTGATCGTTAGGCTGGTTGGGCTTTGTTTCAACCGATCTTCACACTCACATAACTCCTGTTTCAAACCACTACAGGCCACTATTAAGACCTTCATATAAACCCTTACTACAGCTCACACTAGTGTTGTCACGATACCAACATTTTACAAACTATTTTACTACCGATACGGAGTAGTGTCGCGATATCACGGAGGGAAAAAAAATCAGTGTCCTAGCGCCCTGTTCGCACCGTCCCCCGGACACTTGTTCCTGTTTTCTAAACATTCTCTAGAAACCTGTCACTGAAATTCACCTTCTACTCAATACAACACATTGAATTTAACTTCACACTGTTCAGTGTATAATAGAATACTGCATAGAATGGCTGATTTACTCTGATTTGCAAAGGCCTAGCTGTGATCTGGCTGGAGGAAGGAACATGCATGCATAATGATCTGCATGTCATTGTGTCAGTAAGGAGAAAACACTGCATGAAACCTTCTATACTCTTCAGTTAACACACACACACACACACACACACACACACTCTCCCTCCCTTCCTCACACTCACTCTGTTTCCCTCACTCTCATAAACACACACACCACCACTCTCTCAAACAAACACACACACACACACACACACTCTCCCTCCCTTCCCACACTCACTCTGTCTCCCTCACTCTCATAAACACACACACACACACACACACACACACACACACACACGCACACACACACACACACACACACTGCTCCCAACTTTTAAAAGGTTAGGCACCAAACAGAATGTAAGGAGCACCAGAAAGAGATCGTTGTT